TTTTGCCTTCATCCTGAACTTCCCCCTCCTTCCCTTAAAACATGTTTTGAATGTTTTTATACCTCCAAGGTCAGACTACAAAGCCTGCAAGTTCTGTGGCCAGTTTCTTTATTTCCTGAACTGCTGGTATGATGTTCACTATTTGCCAGTGCTGTGGTAATGCATCTTATCTTGCTATTGCTGTGGGCAGGGAGCACTGCACATGTTTAGTTATCACAGGTCAGATGATGAGTGGGAACTCATTAAACCACCGTAATTAATTGCTGGCAACCATCTGGCCACCCCTGAGCAGTAGTGAACAACGTAAGCAGCAGAACTAATGTTGCCTACTTGCCAGTATTTCTCTCTCCCATGTGGATCCTCTGATAGCTAATAAAAGCTGAGACTTTATCTCAAAGCACAAACACAGTCTCTCTCTCTCCTTCTCTCTATCTGGGCACCTGCCCTCACACAATCTTTAGGAGCTGGGTATCTTTGACACCACTAACATTCAATCAAACCTTGATGGAACTGGCTAATGCTTTACAAGTTATGAGGAAACAACAGATATAAAATGCTATGATGGCATCACCCTCATTTCCTCATGCAGTTAGACAGGGAAAAAATAGGTCCTTTAAATCTATCCAGTAATCTTTGTTTGGAGGTAGATGGCAGCTTTTTTTATATATATATATTGACAGCTGCTTTAAAACTTGGGACTGGGAAGAGTTGCTTTAAGGTTTTATTATACAAAGCCTCCCAACTCTGCACGGTCTTAATGTGCTAAGTAAAAGAAAGTTTTGTCTGACTCCAAGTTATTAAATGTAATTGAGATCACATTGGGACTAAATGTTATTTTCCTAGATGCCCATGTTGCAAAATATATTAATCTTGTTTGCCTGTAAGATTGATGCTGGCTCTGCTGAAACGGGGTAGATGCTACAATTAGATATATTTAATTCCTCCTCAGCAGTGCTCCTAATATGATTTAATCTCCTTCCCCTTCTTCTTTTCTTTCTACTCCAGTTATGATGGGTTGTGGTGCCTGCCCAGCTCTAGGCACAGCATGGGAACTCACACTCAATTTGAAGCACTCGGTGCCTCAGGAAGCATTAACACTGTGTGACCTGGGGAACAGAAAGCTGAGGAGCAAGGGCCTCTTTGCAGCATATGCATTACACACCATTTCTCAACCATGGGAAGAAAAGGGAAAGGTTACAGAGATTTTTGGAAGGCAAATGAGTGCTCTGAGAAAAGGCTGTTACTGCAAGTCACTTACCTTTTCTTCAGGGATTGGGGGTGTGCAGAGACTGATAAGGACGATGACAATCGCGGTGAGGAAACAGAGGATGAGGGCAAAGTACAGGTAGTGCAAGTCCTTCAGTACAGCTGGTCTTCTGTCCTCCTCACCACAAGATGGGGTGCTATAAACAAACTCGATGATCATCCGAACCAGACCAACAGCAAGCCCAACCATGAGGCCCCAGAAAGCACCCTGAGAAAAGCCAAGCACAAAGAAAAGGTTACTGCATGTTACCTTTGGTTACAGTTTTCTCCTTTCTTAGATTAAGATCTTTCCTGCTTGTTGGAAACTCACACTGACATGCATGAAAGGAGGATGTTTTCAGTTTAAAATCCTCATTTTCTCTTTCTGTTCTTGAACATGACACAGACAGAGCACAGACAATGCAAGAGTCTCTTCCTAGCAACATGCCTCGCACTAGACTTTGACACGTCATTGCTGAAGTGCAGAACAACTTTGCCTTTCATGCTTTCAAATGAGAGTGCCAAGAAGTACCACTTGCAGGAGCTTCTTGGAAGCAAAACATACATCAGAGACTGGGCCAAGATCCACTAATTCCTTCCAGGGAAAAGCTGTCTAATTGTCACATTTTAGCTGGACTGGCTTTAAGTCTCAAAGGCTCGGAGGTAAGGGGAGAGTTAATTCTTTGTTTTATCAAATTAAAAGTGTATATCAATCAGTTGCTGACACTTCACTTACAGGCTCATTAATCCTCTTGCAGAAGATTGCCAAGATGAAGAGAGCTGTGATTGGTGGGGCTAGATAGCTGGTTATGGACTGAATGTAGTCAAAGAGCTTGCCGCTGTTGGCTGATTGAATGATTGGGATCCAGAGAATACTGACCACTACAAGGATGAGGATGAAGACTCTGGAAGAGGAGGATAAATTTATATTAGCTCTACAGGTGGCAGAGTCCACCTGAAAATGAAATTTCACAGCAAAACACATTTCCAATTGTTCTCAGAATTTCCTCAGGAAAAAATAAAAAAATCCACAGATCACTCTCAAGAAGAAGCTTTCCCTGTGTACAGAGGGAAAG